TACTAATAAAAATTGTCATTCTTTATATAAACTAAAATATTGTATTAAAAACTGTAAGCTTAAAATTAATATTTAAAGAGTTCACCAAAAAATTGTAAATAATTTTTTTGATTAAAAATTTTTTCTAAATTTATCTATTTTTAGCTTATAAGTAACATATATTTTTATTTTATAATATAAAATTAAATACTGCAATAATGTAATCTTTATTTTTAAATATTATTAAATAAAATTTTATTTAAGTATTTTAAAATTTAAAAAATATAAATTATAAGCATATTTTTACTAATTTTCTAGACAAATTTGTCTAAAAAAGCTTACAAATTAAGGGATAATAAAAATTTAACAAAATTTATAAATTATAATTACAAATATTATTTTTTTAGTATATATTAAAGTAAAGTCTTGCTTCTATCTTTATTTATAATTATTATATAGTAACAATATAGAGTTACTAGATACAAAAAGAAGTTCTATATATACTATAATAAAAACTAATATTTTGTAGTTAAAATAAAATATTAAACTGCTAACTATAAAATTATAACTTTAAGTATTAAAAATGCTATATGTAAAATAAGAACTCAGATATATTTATTTGCAGCTTAAACCTACTAAAATGGTTAAAATTTATTTAGATTAATTAAAATTTTCCAAATAATATTCATTACTCTAGTATATACTAGTAAGCTATTCATAATAAGCTATTTATAGATTTTATTATCTATTTATATTATTAAAAATTAATTATATTATTATAAAGAAAAAAAACAATAATAAGATAAATTAAATAAAAAAAAAGTATAGTTAAAAAGATAAAGAGTAGTGTAAATTAAATAAGCAAATAGATAAGAAAGTTAGTAGAGTTATAAAAATGTAGCTAAAAAAAGTAGTATAAATTAAATAAATAAATAAATAAATAAAAATTAATAAAAATATAAAAATATAGTTAAAAAAAGTTTCATCAAGTTCATCAATAATTTTAGATATAGTATAAGTGCATATTTTCTTTAAATATATACTTAAATTTGGGCCCAAATATATATATAACCTCTATAAATACATTTTTTCTTATTATTTTTTAAATATATATTATTAAAGTTTAGTTTCAAGAACATGTATTTATGAAAGTTTTACTGTATATTGAAAGTGTAAATAAAATTAGTTTTTAATATTGTAGATATAATAATATTAAGTATTTTAATAATATATTAATTTGCTTGATCAAAGTATTAGGTTGTTATCTTTTAAATAACATATCTAATATTCAAATTTTATTTATAATAATATTTAAAAATTAATTTGTATTATAGTAACTGTCTTCTATTAATCAATTGTCTCATATAACTGTATACTAAGTAGATCAAATTGGATTTTACTTATTATTGAGAGCTCAAAGCATTTATACAAAATGTAATATTATATATATAGAGAAATATTAATAACTAATATTATATAAAACTTTAGTACAAATCTACAATATGACTACTATTATAGAAGACTAAGAAACTGAAAAACTGAAAACTTAGAAATTCTTAAATAAAAAGATAATATAGATCTTTGATAATACTATTAGTCTGATATAAGCTTATGAACATTTCTAAAGTCTTTAGTAAAACAAATTAAATAATAAAAATATATAGAAAAGCATATAACCAACTAGACTGTTAGATTTTAATAAAAAAAAAGAATACAAAAATATACTACACCAAGTTATCTAAATTGATAATTTAAAAATTCAAAAACAATCCAAAAGAATTTAATAAGAGAAAATAAAAAAAATATTGTAAAAATGAGTAGTAAATTCTAGTAAACTTTACAAAAATAAAATAGTATAATATAGTAGTTAAACAGATAACTCTTATAACTGTAAGTATTAAATAACTATAACATATTATATAAAACTAGGTTAGCTATATATAATATATAACAAACTCTAGTAAGTTTTCTGTTAAAGATAAAGTAATCTTAAAAATATTAATAAGAATCAAGCTGCATTTCTATAATACAAGATAAATTATATATACAAAAGGTTTAAATAAGCAAGACTCATAGTTAACTTACAGATATGATATTTAATATAGAACTTATATAACAATATATAAATGAATTACTTAAATTAAACATCAAAAATGCATATATATTTAACTATAACCTCATATATAAAGGAACTTTTAGAAACACTCATGTTCTATAAACTTAAATAAAAATCTCTCTTCAAAAATAAAAACTTTAATCTAAAAAAAAAACTCTTTAAAACTCTGTCTTTATTTGTTAAAACCTTTAAAAACTACCTTAACCTATGCCAAATTGTAACCACCTTGTTCTTACTTTTAAGAACATTATATAATATTAATAATTTCATAATAACAATTCATCACATTTTTTTTATCTGTATTCCTGATTCTTTAACCTATAACAATATTAATAAAACATTGTATACAAAAAATTTAGTAGAATATTTTAGACCAAATTATAAAACTATTCACATCTTAAAAGTTTCTTTATGAAAATGTTTTTTGTATTCTAAGTAAAATTATTCCTTGCAAAATTTTACATATAAATAGTTAAATATCATATGCTATACATACTGTCCCTAAAAAAATCTGGATATCATATAAATAGCACATCATTAGTTGTGACATGTAAATTGGTAATTATGATATGAATACATTCATATAATTTAAACAAAAATTAATTTTGTTTTGTCTCTCATTCACTTGTAATTAACATGGAAAAACAAACAGGTTTATTCCTTCTATGATTAAGCATCCTACACAAATTTTATAGTATCAATTCCTTCTTTCTTCTCCTTATTATTATTATTATTTTCTATTACTTAACAGATTAATACAAATCCTAAAATGAATATTGTTCTGACAGGTCATAACTAGTAAATGATAAGCTACTCCATAAACAGTCATCTTAATCAATAATAAAACCATCTCATGACTGTTGTCACGACAGGTTATCTATTAGCAAATCCTCCTGCCTAAAATAAACAAAGTTGATAATTTTTCTAAAGGTTCTAGGGTGGGGGGTAAGGAACTGAAACTAGACTAAAATCGGGTTCGCAAAAGAAATAGAGTTATCTCTAACTCTATTCATTACAATACTAAAATACTCAAATCAATTAGACTCAAATACGTCAATATTACTGAACTGATTTACTAATTGCAATTATTACCTCATAATTCTCAAAGTCTATTTTATTACTAATACTAACATTATATTAAACACGTCATTACAAAATTACCCATGTGACTGTAATTGGGCATGTCACATGCCTGGATACGAGCTAATTCGAGACAAAAGCTGAGCAGCATTATTATCCTTATAATTCGAGACATTAGCATAGTCAAATCTACAGCATAAATACCAAAGTATCGCATTCAAGCATTGAAGAAGTTTGTTTTGATTGGCTGAAATTAGAATAAATATGATTGGCGACGATCTTTTTTTTTATACAGTCAATTGTAATTTTTAAAGTACTTTTATAAGTAAAGATCGTTGTGATAAATAAAAAAAAATTTTATTATATATAAAATACAACAACCGGCATAATATTCTATAGTTTAGCTGTAAAGCTAATGTTTTTTGACTTGAGATACAATAAGATACAAAAGATTAGAAAAGTGAATGAGAAACAAAAGTTTTACCGGTCTTAACAACGTCGGAAAGGTCAGGACATATGGTTGATTGAATTTCTACAATCAGAGGTGAGTCAATGAATTCATGATCCGAGATATGATCCGAGATATGATCCGAGCTATGATCCGAGCTATGATCCGAGATCTACAATTAACCAATCAAAACGAACTTCTTCAATGCTTCGCATTCATGTAATTTTTATTTATAGTCATGAAAATTTGGTGTTTTTAACTTTAATTTTACGCGAGAAATAAAATAATTCTTGTATAACATTTTAACCAAATTTGATAATTAAGACAAAAAAGTTTGCATAAAATAAAAAATTTGATCGCTATAAAATTAGTTTAGAGTTATAAATTATTTTTTTAAATTTTACAAATCACAATTAAATTTTTAAAAAATTGAAATGTATTCTCAAAGTTCAACTATGTCTGCTAATGATACTTTGAATAAGTTAATCAATAAAACCATTGAACATTCTAACCAAATTTCCAGCAAATGAATTAATTTTGTGTTAGTATGTTTAGGAATTTATTTTTATAAATATTAGAAACAAAAGTATCATGATCATACTATGTTCTTGGTTTAACGCGACTACATCGCTAATACATTTAATAGTATATAGTACGAAGTTTGTTAACATTAATGCAATGATAAAAAAATTAAATATGAAAATTTGATTGTAGAAATATTTATGCAAAACTACAGTAATTTACAACCCTACTATTACGAAATACATGGGTTAATCAAAGCATCGAATCATATGAAATAAAATTGTATACATAAAATATGTTCATATTCGGATAGATATATTTAAATATATAGGTATAAAATTTACAAATGAAATGGTATCAAATTTTATAAGGACAAAATTAGTAGTTTTCTCATTTATCCTTTTTCTCATCATCCTTCTTCTCATCCTTTTTATCATCATCCTTTTTCTCATCCTTTTTATCATCCTTTTTATCATCATCCTTTTTCTCATCACCCTTTTTATCATCTTTTTTCTCGCCATCCTTTTCCTCATCTTTCGGATTAATAACTTTAGTATCAACCTCTGGATCTTTCTCTTCAGCTTTTTCATCTTCCTTTTTGTCTTTCATTTTGGGAAATTCACCAGGAAGTCCTTCCAATTTGATTCCTGTGCATTTACTATAAACTCTTAATCCCAATTGCAATTCCCATTCATCTTTCTTTTCCTTATCATCCTTTTTCTCAGCATCATCATCTTCTTCTTCCTCATCATCATCATCATCATTAGCGTCCCATCCACGTGAAAGATTCTTAATACGTTTTTCTTTACGTTTTTTAACCTCAATCTCAGAATCTTTTTCTTGTTTTGTCTCTTGATTTTCTTCAGATTTCTCAATAGTTTCACGGTCTACATGTGGAACAATTACATAGTCACCAGCAGGAAGTTTAACTTCATGGTTTATGCTACGACAAGCAAATGCAAATGTCGAACGACTGCGAGCCAAGTAAGAAGTTTCACCGTCTTTGAATATACGGAAACTTAATTGATAACTTTTTTTTAAAAAAAAATGCAAATAAATTATTAAATAATGAACAAGTAATAATAAATTAATAATGAAAGAAAATATCCAAAAAAAAACGTACTCATATTTAGGCTCATCACAAAAATATCTATCATCTGGTTGTTGAAGAACTATAACCAGATGACATTCTTCAGGTAAACATATTTTAAACTTTCCTTTAGACCTTGGTACAACATTATAATTAATCCAAGTCATATAAACAGTCCAACTTGAATCAAATAATCTACATTTATCAATCATATCCCAATAATCAAGGAAATCATCATAACACATCCAGAAAGTACCATCATCACCGAATCTGTGATTTAATTTAATCATACGTTCAGGAGTCCATTCTTTACTTCCATCACTCCATGCACCTTTTTTTTTTATAAATAAATATAATTAGGAAATATAATTAAAGACAGTATGCACAGACTTTTAATTGACATACCAGTCCATTCAGTTGTTCCCCATGGATTTCTTATTTGTAAAAGTTTAATACCATCGTCAGTCTCAGCAGTACGTAAAATACTATAAGCATGATTGCTAATAGTTCCTTTTAAATCTTTAATATCTTTATCACTAAATTCAAATCTGACACAACCTAGTAATAAATTAGTATTAACATTTTTTAATACATCATTCCAAAATTTATCTTTATTCAAGATATCATTGGTGAATTGCAGTGTGTAGACACCACCAGTTATATCTTCTATCCCTATTAAAAGAAATCAATAAGTCGGGTACATTTCTTTTATTAATAATTATATATAATGAGTTTAAGAGCGCAAGAATATAAAATTGGAGATAATATATAAATATTAATGATAAATATTAATAGTACCTTCACCAGTCCAACCTCCAGAAATACTTTCGTAATCACCATGAACTTTTGCATAAGCTTTTTCAATTAATGGTAACCAAGTTTCATTTTCATTCGAACAATGGCTAGTAATTTAAAAAAAAAAATTAAATTATGATAAGAATAATGATTTTTTTTTTAAAAAAAATAAGATATAATTTTTAAAATGAATAATAAAAAGTTTAAACTATAGTTACGCAAAAGTTAATTGAAAAATTCCTTTGTCATCTTTACCGGATGTAAAGAGCTGATCATCAATAACAGTTGAAACCCAATCGCCATCCTATTGTTTTTTTTAAAAAAAAAACATAATGATAAATATAAATATTTTTACATTAATTTAATTTACGTTAATTTTTTTTATATATAAAATATACAAACCTTAAAAAAAATAAAACCATAAACACCAACATCTTCATCTCTAGCAACACAAATAGTTTCCAATAATTTTGGAATATTCGTAATGACAGCCAATGAAGCTATGAACCAACAATCACCAACACCTCCTTGTTTGATATCATTTGGTTCAACACCATCAATGAAGAATTGTGGTTTTTTGCAAATTTTATTGATACGTTGTATATTGGTAGCATTGAAAGTTGTTGTTTTCTTATTATAAAGACAATCGTCCATGTTCACAAACAAATCGAATTCACGATCTCGAAATTTTCGATTTTGTTCACTACATTCTAATGAGATCTATGATTTCGAAATAATGAAATAATCAAGTAAACTCAAAATAGTAATAATAATAATAATACGTAATAATAATAATATAATAATAATAATAATAATAATAATAATAATAATAATAATAATAATAATAATAATAATAATAATAATAAT